AACATGATGTTGGACGCATAGTGGATATGTGCTGAGGCGCCAGGCTATCTTGCCTTTCCCTACCTGTTCCTCAGTCTTGAACTTACGGGTTGTTTAACTGAATGGAAGGAACACAACACAACGTGATGCGTTCGGCATCTGTTGGATTGTCAGGTCGTTTGACATTTGATTGTTAATTCCTTCATAACTCGGGTCTTATCCTGATATCCATAGTCTGGGCGGTAAGATGATAGTTGGTAGCCGTGCCCACAGACTCGACAATGGTACCTACTAGATCGATTTCAGTAGCTGTGATTGCGTTCTCATTATGCTTCTAAATTCACGCGCACGATGCATTACCTGTATCAGATTCATTTTAGAGGTACTATCCTGGGCAGATTTGCACCGGTAACGATGAAAACGAGGCTTACCCTATGTCAAATTTCATTAGGAGAGGTAGTTGGCAACCGTGCCCACATAATCCACAATTGTTCCTACTGGCTTGATTTCAGTAGATATGACTACGTTCTCATTATGCTTCTTAATTTGCATGCGTGCTATGTTACCTGTACCAGATTCATTGTGGAGGTACTATCCTGGGCACCGGTAACGATGACAATGGGGCTTTCCCTACATCAACTTTCATAAGAAGAGGTAGCTCTTGACTGCCTCATTCATTGTAGAGGTACTATCTTGGACGGATTGGCACCGGTAACGATGCCAATGAGGCTTACCCTTTATCAGCTTTCATTAGCAGAGGTAGCTTTCGACTGCTTCATTATTTGCGGATTTTGTCTTCCGCCCAAACCAATTTTTCGCATAAAAGTCTTACCCGGCTTGCGTTGTGGCGTTCCGCGTGCCGGTGCTTGACTCTCGTGTCCTTCAGTCCATTATGTTGGATGGAGTTCTATCGCTTACACTGCGGAATGACCTTCGTACCAGTTGCCTTCTTTCCATTGGTTGTTCGCCTTCACTTGCTTTTATTTCCAATCTGAGGCTAGGATGCATTTATTTCACACACCGTTCAAAGCCTCGTTGCTCATTTCCATACCTTCCTTGTATTTTTCACCTAATCTAATTTAGGCTTCCACGTTACCAGGAGCGTCAATTCCCCCTCCACTCCATTGTCCCACCCGTATAGCCCCTATTACCACCGGTCCCGATTGACAGGCAGGTTTGAGTTTGCGGTGTCAGGAGGGCTACCAACTATCATCTAACCGTCTGGGCTTGACAGTTGTGTCCTTAGCGCTCAGAGCAGTGGTGACCTTTTGGCGTTCGCGCTTATACCTTTAATCTATTGACTTTTTGTTTGCATACAGTCCGTTTACCTTGTTTTTTTCTACCATCATGACCTCTACGGATTCCAGCGATGCCACAGCTTCTCTCAGTGGACTTGTTTCGTCTTTCCCAGACTTTTGGCAACATGCGTCAGAACTTTATTTCTTTCCGTATTGAGGCGACACTTCACTCTGCCAAGATTACACGAGAAACCGGCAAATATTATAAGTTGGTCGAGGCCCTTCCTCCTACCATTCTTTCCCAAGTGCAGACGTTTTTGTGAGATCCCCCGACTGATGCTCCCTACACGAAGTTAAAGGCTGAACTCCTTCGCCTGACACCAGTCTCAGATCGGCAGCGTTATCATGCACTGGTGAAAGAAGAGGCCTTAAGTGATCGTAAGCCGTCGGAACTCCTGCGTCGTATGCGTTCTCTCGTTGGGGACATGGCCATAAAAGATAAGTTGTTTAAAAAGATGTTCCTAGAACGTCTACCGACGTCGGTACAAATAATCTTGGCCTCCGGCTCAGATGACCTAGACATATCAAAGCTAACTAGCTTACAACAGATATCGTCGTTCGCGACGGCCTACCTGAAGGTGGGGTGTGGAATTACTCCGATTTTTCGGGTGTGTGGGCACACGCTGGATATCTTCGTGTAGTTTAGCCTGTCAGTCGAGGACAATCAGCATCACCCCAGCCCGCCAAGATCCTCGCAGCTAGACCGAAAAGCAGCAACTGCCCGCATTACTGACGATCGCAACCGAAATTAATGCAACCATTCGCAAAGACTGCAGACGGATTTTGATGGTCCCTTTCCGTATGCAGTCGGTTATCGGGTTGTTTTTCCCATTTCTCTGAATAGCAGACGCGAACAAAAGTATCGATGCTAAGCTCTGCATACTACTTTACTTGATGCCTGACCTTTTGCCAGATTTA